TGAAATGCATCCTTTGCAGGGCTAATGTTCAGGGCAGACATGTACAGATTTCATTCTGAAATCTCGCGTCTCAAACATGCCCCAATCATTTGACGTCGCTTAACAATTCTTTGTTTTTATCATTTTGGATTCTAGAGGGGGCTACAATTTGCTGATGCTCATGCGTGTGCATGCATGCAGACATGTGATCAGATGGTCTTTCTCCTGGAGAGAATCAGCAGTAAAATCTTTTGGATGATAATGAGGATGACAGTGCTTGGGGTTCTGCCACTTCCCAGCTTGTGTGACCCTGGGTGCATTCGCTCGTCATCACTGCCTTTTTGGGCTCTGCCCAGTTGAACAATGAATAAGATCCCTATGCGCATGTGCATTTCTATTTGTTTGGTTTCATTGTCATAAATCCGTGAGTTAATCGCCCTCTGAGGTATCCTGGATATTGCAACACCCTGCTTTTGCTAGATGCCTGTTCACCTTATTCAGCATGTCTGGGTGGCAAAGAGGTGAATATTCCTTCTGGTGAAACAATAGCAAAATTCAAGAAACATATTTTGTAATTCCTTTGCCGTGTAATGGTGTTGCAGGTATTGCTCCGAGTGACTGCTTTGGGAGACAGGTGCAAGATTTTCCTAGTCTTGCCTTTGCTGCCATAGGTGGGGCACAGGTCCCACACTGATATAACCCAGCATTCTCTGACATTAAGGGATCATTCACATGCATGCATAGCTCAGTAAAATGCGATGGTAATGTCTGGAGCTCACTGCTGCTATATGATAAAATAGGAAGAGGAAAGAGAAGCCTCTTATGACTAATAATGGATTGATTTAAAAGGGGAAAATGAACTTGTACTCTTGTGTTACAGATTCAATGGTTCTTTCCTTTGACTCCGTTGGACATACAATAGGCTCAGGTACAACACCCCCTTCCTCCCTCTCTATCTCCCTCCTTAAAAGGCTTCTTTTTAATTAGGCTTGGTAGCCATGTTGGGAGGCAGATAACAGATCTGCCTGCAAATCGACCATCTAGCCAAACTGCATAAATGCACCCCCTTGGGGTAAGAATTGGGACTATTAAGAGTCATAGTGTGGTATAAAAATGAAATGTGGGACCTCCTAGAGCATGGCCAGGCAGGGGACTTGAGCAGAAAGGACTCAGTTTGTGGCCCTTTTCTCATGTGAAAGGCACCAAGGCAGCTGTTCCACTCTCCTAGGGGAGAGTCTCAGCTACCTGGGGGAAGGGGATAAGGAAAGGAGGCAGGCAGGGAATATTTTATGGTTTCACAGGTAGGGCTCTCATCTCTTTTCCTGGGTGGGCTAAAAGGCAGAGGCATAGGAAACACTTCCAGTGCCCGGGGCCCAGTGGAGTGGGCGGAGGGCATGGTGCTGACCACTGGAGAGCAGTGGTGATGGGGGAAAGTGAAGTCTTACAGGCTGGGCTCTCCCCACTTGATGGCAGCTGCTTCTGCTGTGGCTGCGCCTGCAGCAGTGCAGATTTGTACTGCTGCAACTGAGAAACAGGCGCTAGCTAGTGTGGGCTCCTGTCCTGAGGGCCTGCTCTCTCCCTGCTCCACCTCCCAGGCACTGGGCTGTGCCTCCAGCGGCCCAGCCGCCTGGGTGAGGGCAGGGGTGGTATCATTCCACCCCCCTCCGCCCAGGTACACTGCTGTACCTGCCCCTCCTACAGCAGGGCAGAGCTGCACCTGTCATGGCTAAGATTACCGGGGCAATGGGCACCCCCTGCCCCCAGAGTCAGCACCTGGGGCTGGTGCCCCGTGCACCCCACCTTAGTTAGGCAGCTGCTAAAAGGAATTGATGATGAGCCCAAGGGGTGCCTGCTGGACATCTGGTTAGGGCCTTTGGTGCTACTGAGCCAAGTATCAAAACTGCAAGGTTCTTTGGTGCTTGGACCACTGGAGGGGAGTAGTGGCCATCTGCAGCACAAGGGGCATTTTTACACATGCAAGCGCTGCAGTGCCAGGTGCTTTGACAAGCGCCCGGTGCTGCATCGCTTGCAGTTGTATAAGCGGTGAAATATGCATCAGCACGCAGAAAATGCCAGTGGCGTGCCTTTGAACTAAAACACATAGAAAGTGTTTTAGTTCAAAAGTGCTCTGCTGCCATTTTCTGTGTGCTGATGCGCATTTTGCCACTTACACAAGTGCACGTGGTGCAGCTCAATTTGCATCAGCTCACATGTGGAGCAGACTCCATTAATCCAGTCTGGTCCGAAGTGGCAGATCTCTAGTGTGTCACGGGACTGCAGCTGGAGCACGCTGTGCTGCAGCAGACGTGCTTCTTTATGGTGACTGCAACATGAGACGGTTCAATGCACACGCACAACTATGGACGTGGGGTAAAGGGCCTGTAGCCCTAGCTCCTGAAATGAAAGGGTAAAAACTGGTTTTAAACATAGACATGAAGTGGGCCTAAAACGTAAGTCCCTTTATTTTACCTTTTAAAAACCTGACCTATTTACCTTTCCCTTTCAAAAACGGAAGCTGCTCCTGGATCTCTCTTGCTTATTAGTCTTTCCTCTCAGGTGGGTAGGAATAGTTTGCTGCCTTCCAACATGGCACCTATCTTCTGCCTGCACGATAATGAGAGAGCCTGCTGCCTGTCTCTTAACAGCGAAGCTTGTAGAGAACTCTGATTTACTAACCCCAGCCTTAGTAGCACTTAGCTCCTTTATAAGCCCTAATCGCTTTCTGCTGTCCTTGCTTCACTCTCTAGAATGTTTTACTGAACTGATCTGTCAAGAGCGCATGATCTGATTCAGCAACAGCTCACAGTGCCTGGTGCTGAGTGCAGAATGGAAACGGCACCAAGGTTTTGGTAAAATGCGGGGGTTCTTCTGCTAACCCTATTCTTCCTAACTAACTTCCAGAGCTTTCTGAATGAAGTGTCTCTAATTCTCTTGAGTGGGAGGGAATGAAAAAGGCTTGAAGTATATGAAATCTCTGGGCAAATTCAGGCTGCAGAATTTGATTTCCATTACAACCGTGCTGGACCACAGTGATATAATTAATACCAGAATCTGGTCCAGAGCGAGGCTTTTAAATTTTTCTAACTAAATGACATTGTCTAATCTTTGTTTAGCTGCTCACTCATTTTAAAGCACAGATTGGCTTCTGGCTAACTTCACACTAGGGGTATCTTTCTAGAAGCCTGAAAAGTTGCTCATAAATACTGAGTTAGGCTTTTATCACTAGAACGATATATTACAATCAGAGAGAAAACATAATTAAGAATTTGATTTGGAAAAAAAACCAAACCCAAGTTCAACTGATCTGGCTCTTTGAAAATCCTGCTGTTGGGACCGGTGAACAAGGTTAATGTAAGCAGACCAGCTGTCTGGACCTGGTCTTTGGAAGCTGGTTCCTGACCCTGACATGCTACCTCTCAGGGGTGCATGCAGTTCTGAAGAGCACAGTAATACATATCCTTTTTCTAAACCCATCTGCCTCAAAAATCCTGTTTCTCCACCCTTATGAAGCAACTCACTCTTTTGGGAGAAAGGCTCAGAAATACCCAAGAGATTCATGTGCTAAACTGCCTTTGTGTTAAGCACCTTGGATTTATTATGCTGCAAATTTTAGCCTGCTTTGAACTGCAGCATATAATAAAACATCAAGCCTGGTATCTGCCCAACTGAGGGACAGCTTTCCTTGTTAAACAGGAAGGAGAGAGAGAAAAACTGTGACTCTCGTGCTTCCGCCGTCCAACCCATCACACCCTGCTGCAGACCCAGGAACAGACAGAGCCCAGAAAGAAACCAAAGAACCCATGGCTGCTGCGGGCCCAGCCATTCCCAGTAGGTGCTTTTTCAGGTCGGGGTGCGAAAGGGGCAAAAGTGTTCGAATTGCATAAATACTTAGTTTACTGAGCTACCGAAGATGAAATAGCTGCCAATTACTAACGCGAGAAGTATAAGGAATAAACAAGCAGAAATGGAAGTCTAATGCTTAATCCAAATGATGACTGATTTGGCATGAGAGAGACTGGCAGGATAGTTCATGTGACTTGAATATTGCTATGGAAAGGTACAGCTGGAAGGAGAGGCAGGGAGGAGATTTTATCTTCTATACCAAAAAATGAATGTGTTTTCTCTGAGCTTCAGAATGTAGTGGGGGAGACCTGGTGACGTTCTCTGCCGAAAGATGAAAGGGAGAAAGAAGAAAGGCAGTGCCACGGCAGGAGTTTGCTGTAGACCACCAACCACGAAGGGCAGGTGGATGCAGCTTTTTTTCTTTTGAGCAACTAACTGACTGATCCAAGGCACGGGGCTTGGTGGTAACGGGAGACTTCACCCAGACGTCTGCTAGGAAAGTAATACCACAGGACACAGACTGTCCAGGGTGTTCTTGGAAGGTGCCAGGGATAACTTTTTAAAGTGGATTGACGAGAGCCACTTCCACATTGTGACCCTTGGTAGCCTCTCTGACAGCCAAGAGCTCCCGCACTGGCAAAAACACCAAGGTGCACAAAGATAAAGATACGGAGACCATTTTTGTCATGTGGAAGAAGGACAAAGCAACCAGAAGGGCAACATTTCTAGATTTGATTCTGCCCAGAAACAGCTCGAGAATGGGAAGATGGAAGACAACTTAGGTGATTCTTAGGCAAGAAAGGAAGGAAAACAGAATAAAGGAAATGGACTTCAGGAAAACAGACTTTGGTAACACAGAATTGATGGGCAAGATCCAATGGGACACAAAGTCTAAGGGTGAAGGGAATTCAGGAGAACTCCCAGTTTCTTAAAGAAACAGCAGTTCACACTTGTGCCGTCAGTACTGCAGGGTGAAGACAGGCTAGGAAATGCAGTAAGAGAACACAAGTGCCAGACTGCTCACACCAGGGGTCCACCTAGCCCAGAGTCGTGTCTCTGACAGTGGCACGCGCTAATGCTTCCTGTGTACCACAAGTGATACGGGCAGCCTGTGTATGGCACGCAGCAGGCTGGGGAGAGGTCAGGGAGCGGAGCAGCAGATCAGGCAGTGAGTACAGGGCAGGGAGCCAAAAGTGGAGCAGGAGCTGGGGCTGGGGAAGGGAATTGGAGTGGCACTCAGGGAGGGCACAAAGCTAATTTGTGGTATGCCTGCCTGTAAGGTTGCCTCCCCTTCATATGAACAGGGTGTATATGGAGTGGTCTGTCCTCCGTTGTCCTCTTCCTGGCATCCGCTGTCATTGGTTTAGAGATCCATCCCTGACTGTTTTGTTTAATGGCCATTAGTGGATCTATCATCCATGAATTTCTCTAGTCCCTTTTTGGACCTGGCTATACTCTGTGCTTTTACACCCCCTGTGGTAAGGAGTGCCACGAGTTAATGACACGCTGCATAAAAACGACTTGCTCTTGTTACTTTTAAACCTGTCTGTCTCTGCAGCAACGTTGTTTGCTACACTATGGCCTCTGCAGTGACCTGAGCTCAGTGAGGAGTTATGTAACCGGTGCAAACTAGCTCCAATTACTAAAGCTGAATTTAAAGGAAAAGTACGAGTAGGTAAGAACACAAGCAGAAATGCCAAGGCACAAAATGAGATGCAAATAACGAGTGAAAGAAGTGGAACACGAAAACATTCTGTAAGTACATTTGTATTCGAAGGAAGCCCAAGGAAAGAGTCGGCCCACCGCTCAGTGAGGATAGAAAACTAATTAGACTATGCTGATAATGCCAAAGTCTTCAGTGCCCCTTTTTGCTTCGGTCCTGTGATCAGATGGCTAACATAATTAGCACTGGTGACAAGGGAATAGGAATTAAAGCTAGAACAGGGAAGGAATAGGTTTGAGACTTCTTAAATGTTCATTGGGTCCAAGTGCTTTGAAAAATTCATCCTAGAAAACTGTCTGAAGCAGTCTCAGAGCTATTAATGAATCTGTGAGAACTCATGGGCAATAAGTTATGTTCAGAAAGCCTGGAAAAGAGAAGCATAATGCCTGTCTTTTAAGAAAGGAGGACCCAGTGAACTATACACAAGCCTGTCTGACTTCAGTTCCTTAGAACCATGCTGGAATAAACAACCAACTAGTCAATTTGTAAGTACATGGAAGATAATAAAAGTGATAAGCAGCAGCTGACATTAATTTATCCAGAACAGATCATGTCAAACAAACCTAGTCTACTTTTGTCTCCTTCTTCAAGAAAGGGGACAAGTCCGTGTGTGGGAACTATCGAGACACTGCCCTCCTCTCTGTTGCCGGGAAGGTTCTTACTCACATCCTCTTGTGTTGCCTCCTCCCCCTTCCTTCCACAATCCCAGTGTGGCTTCAGCCCATCTCCGGGCACCACCGACATGATTTATGTTGCATGACAGACCCAGGAGAAGTGTAGAGAGCAACACCACGAGCTGTTTATGGCATTCATTAATCTAACCAAGGCTTTCAACACCATCAGTTGTGAAGCCTTATGGAAGGGGCTGGCTAGGTTTGGTTGTCCACTGAAGTTCATCGGTGTCCTCAGGCTACTTCATGACGGGATGGCTGTCACAGTCCTTTGCAACGAGTCAGAGACAGACCCGCTTACCATCCATACTGGTGTCAAGCAGGGCTGCATCATCGCCCCAACCCATTTTTCCATCTATTTTATTGTGCTTTTGATCCTCGTCTGTGACTGCCTTCCTCCCAGAACTGGGGTTGAGTATTGAATGGACGGTCAGCTTTTCAACCTGTGGCGCCTTCACAGCAAGACGAAAGTTGTCAAGACGGGCATCACTGACCTTCAGTGCCCTGACAATGGTGTTATCCTCGGGCAAACAGAGACTGATCTGCAGTCCACCCTTGCCCTTTTTTCAGGTGCCTATCACAGCCTCGGACTCTCCCTTTAATATTGGGAAGACCAAGGTGCCCCAGCACACTACCCGCCTCCCCCCACAAATTCCCATTGGTGGAAAACCCCTGGAAAATGTTGAGCATTTTCCATACCTCTCCCTGGGAGCCACCTCTCCTAGTCAGTCGGTCTTGATGTAGAAATTGAACATAGGATTCACTTATCCTTCGGCAAGCTGCTTCACTATGTCTTTGCCAATTGAGTTCTGCAGATGGAAACTAATATCCTGGTCTACGGTGCTGTGCTTATCCCCACACTCCTCTATGGGTGTGAGACATGGGTGACATACTGAAGCCATCTGAAGCGCCTGGAGTGATTCCATCAGTGTTGCCTCAGGAAGATCCTTTGCATTACATGGGAAGACCACTGCAGCAATGCCAGCATCCTTTTTGCAGGCAACGTAACCAGCATTGAGGCCAGATATGAAACATCACCTCTTCTGGATTGGCCATTGTGTGTAGATGGCTGACACTTGTTTCCCAAAGCAGGTCCTCTTCTCTCAACTCAGTCCATGGTAAGAGGACCCACAGAGGACAGAGAAAACACTACAGGGACACCCTGAAAGCATACCATAAGAAGGGTGGCATCAATCTTTCAAACTGGGAAATGCTGGCTGGTAACAGGTCTCAATGGTGCTTCATCATGCATCAAGCTACAGCCCACTTCGCAGAGAATCATCTTGCTCAGGAAGCCAAGACATGGCAGAGGAGGGAGGAAAGTGCACAACATCCTGGCCAACAGCTGTGCTCCTGCCCCCAAGGCACCACCTGTCATATCTGTGGAAAAACTTGCAGAGCATGGATTGGACTCCTCAGCCATCTTAAAACTCACTAATAATCCTTCCCCACCGCCGCCCCCGGCAGACATCATCCTCACATCGAGGGACAGCCGGAGAAGAAGACCTCTGTGACAGGGTAATGGTTCTTGTGGACAAGGGAGAAGCAGTGGGTCTGATGTCTTGACTTTAGTGATGCTTTGATGCAATTTCACGTGACATTTGCATGAGGAACCTAGCGAACCTAGTAAAATATAATCTAGATGAAACTCGTGTAAGGTGAGTGCACAACTGGCTGGAGAACAATATACAAAGAGTACTTATCCTGTCTGCGAACTGGGAAAGGTGCAGGGGCTCTACGGTATCTGGTCCTGTTCAGTATTTTCATCACTGACGTGGTCGATGGAGTAGGAAGCATACTTATCACCTTTGCAGATGACACAAGCCTGGGAGGATCAGAATTCAGGATGATCTTGAGTTGGAGAAATGGTCTGATGCAACTGGGTCAGGACAAGTGAAGGGTACTGCAGTTATAGCAATGGTCAGCTACACACATACCCAAGGAGGAATGACTGGGCAGTCAGCAGTTCTGCACAGAGGGACCTGGGAGCTCTAGTTGGTCATAAACTGACCAGGAGTCACCAATAGCATGGCATTGCAGTGACAGTGAGCACCAGCATGGGGTATATCAAGGGAGTGGCATATGTGTGCAGACACAATTGTATGAAATGCTGCAGCTTCCATGCTGGGGGTGGTAGTGAGCACCCAGCCCAGCATACCTCTCAGTGGACGAGTGGGAGGGGGTGCTTGCACCCATGCTTTGGGGGTCTCAAGGGTGTGGGTGATCTGTGGCTGGGGGCATTTCCACTTTTCTGCCTTCTCTTCTCTCCTGAAGGTGAGTTCAGTGACTGTCAGTAGCCTGGGGAGTGCTTGCCTGACTTGGGGTGGCTGGGGGAGGGGGAGCTGTGTTTGCAACCAGGCTTTTGAGTTCTCAGAGGCTGGGGGGAGGCTCCATGGGTTGGGGAGGATGCAGTCAGATAGGGAGTGAGGACACAGCTCGTTTTTAGGAAGACAGCTGTTATTGACCACGCAGTGCAAGGGAGCTTGTCGCTGAACAGTGCCAACAAAAGAAAAAAAAAGGGCACTAGGATTCTGCTCCTTGGTGTAGGATTAATGTGTGTGGGAGATAAATGTTCTCTACAAGGATCCCTG